ACAGTACTGATGTCTTCATAAAACAAAGTTTCATGTAGAGCCCTAAGACCTTAACAAGGCCCTCAAACGCCAGCGCTCCCACCAAGGCCACACCTAGACTCCAAGGTGGAAGATCTTGAGTCAAAGCAGGACCTGGCCAGGGACAAAACTCAACCTCTAATTGCCACTCCAGCCAAAGTGGATTTGAAGACACCCGCCCTTCAGCCATCCCTCCTCCATTGCAAGAACAGCTGCCGTTAACCCAGCTCGGAGGGACTGACATGTTGACCAGACTGGCAGAGGAAGACATGGATCTTGGCAGATCAGCACACGGGGAGAGGAGTCCACGTGACCCCACCGTGGGCAGACTCAGCGAAGAACCCCCCTGATTCACCTAACATCATCCCACCAGCCCAAATTTGGGTTCAATTTGCCAAATTGTTTTGGCGTGGGGAAAACTGTTTTGGGGCAAAACTCTCAACCCACGCATGGGTGGCGAGCTTCCCTGTGCTGGGCTCAGCACCCAGCCGTGTGGGTGCCCCCCTCCACATACCCCCCCCAGCATGTTGCATCCTGCATCTCTGCCGCTTTGAACCCACCTCCCGCATCACCCCGGAGTGGGTGCGTTCCCTTCGCTCTGCAGCCCCGTCCCAGGTCACTCCCCCTCCCGGTCCCCCCGCCACCCGCTCCGGCCAGCGTGACAGCAGCGCAGAGCCTCTCCCAGCAGCACACGCCTGACTCCTGCCTGCATCCATCCCCCCGTTAAACACACTGAGGTACCCCCCGCGGCCATCCCTGCCCCACGTACAGAGGAAGGGGACTCGGCACAGGACTTGGCTCATCTCTCCCCCCAAAACACACCCACACCCCCTTCAGGAACGACATGACCAGACAGACCCGCTCGCAAATCGCTCCCCGAGAGCTCACGCACACACTGCTAACACCGGCAGCTGCCCTGTAATAACCTACCCTCTGTATTATTACCATTAATTATATATTAACATACCCCGTAATCTTAACTGCTGCTAAGTCGCATGGTGGGGTATGGGCGGGGGCGGTGAAGGTCGGGGCTGGGATGGGCAGAAGACTCCAGAAACGCTGGAGTCACTTGCAAGGCACTGGTCTTCCAGCCACCCCCGTGTTGTCGGGGGACCACGAGAGATCTGAGCACGTAATGCAGGAGCACCAAGCGTTAAGTGTCTTGAGCAATGCCCTCCGCAGCACCAGGGAAGCCTTTCGCAGCCATAGCAATGGTGCTGCAGGAGAGGTGATACTGGGAGCCCTCGCTAGGGCTGGGCCACCCTGCTGTTCAGGCAACACATGGGGATGGCCACTCAGCGCAATCAGCCCCTCAGGGGTTCTCCAGGAATTCTCCAGCTTCCCACACCTTCCCCTTCTCTCTGCCACCCCCAACCATGCCATCAGCTGGCAGCGAGACCCTCAGCACCCCTCACCTCGCACATTCCCCCCAGCCCCCGAACTTGCTGAAGGGCAGGGTGATTTTCTTCTTCCACTGAGTCAGGGAAATTTGGAGAGAAACAACATGGGGCAGGTAACCAGTACCACTTCTCGCCCGGGGCAGCACGGGGACCTCCATGCCCTGTGCTGCCCCGGCTCACTGGGGCTCCGCCGGCAGGCACAGCCCTTTCCCCACGCCATGGGGCAGGGGAAGCTGCTGCTTCCAGCCCCTTTCTGGAGCCACCTCTTAACAGCTGCACCGATCCCACATCTGAGACAATCCCAGTCGCAGCAGCACAGCCAGCACTGGGGCCAGATATTTCAGGTCTCCTTTCAATTCTCACAGAGGGGAAAGACATACGCAGCATCCTCACCAAGCGAGGATTTTCCAGAGACGCGGAGCTTTCACCATTGCATCTCGAAGGCAGCACGCCGCCTTCCAAGTCATGATATAGCTCCAGCCAAAAAAAAAAAAAAAAAAAAAAGCTGGAAAGAAGCCTGGGGCTGGCTCTGCCCCGAAGCTGCAGCCGTTTCATGTGGCTCCAACGCCTCTCGCCCGGCAGCTCACACTTTCAAAGAACCGCTTGCATGCACACAGGCACACAAAACACAATTAATGAATGTCTCACATCCCACTGTGTGTGTTCTGACACAGCCCCATTTGCCAAGGAGGGGGGGGAAAAAAAAAAAAAAAAGGGTGCGTGTGTCTATGTATGTATATACAAAGGCTTTAAAGAGGACGTTGCTTGCATTTTTACAGCTTTGTTGAAGGGGTTTGTTTTGTTTTGTTTTTTAAATATAAAAGCCTAAAGCAAATCTAATCCAGAGAGAGGTTTGGGTTTTTTTAAAGTCTTTAATACTTTACCTGCGCGCGTAACACCTGTAGAGCTCCGACACTCCCCAAGGAGCATGTTTTACGGTAACCGTTTCAGCCTGGAAAAAGGCAACTGCTCAGAAAAACATTGCTACTGGCGAGTATTACACATGCTGCCAAAGTGAGTATCCTTTCACGAAGGGAGAGGATTAAGCCTTTCAGGGAAGTCCATCACGGGATCGACACAGGAGCTTTATGGGCTTTAACTCGCAGGTGTTGCCCAGTTGTATAAAGCTGCCTGCACGCCGAAACCTTCTTGGGGTAATCCAGGCACGGCAGGAGGCCACCCGCCTCCACACAGCTAAGGAGCCGGGCAAGAGGAACCCTCATGCTGTGCGCAAGGCTTCAGTTCATTAGGGAATAACGAGAAAGAAGTTTTATTGCTTTCCCTGTAAAACAAACAGAATCTAAGAATGCCGCTGGCAGAGCCATGTTTAAGCCTTTCAATGAAGATGAACACTCAGCGCTGGTTTCGGGGGCACAGAGAGCCAAGCAAACAGCCATCGTCAGGATGGTTCTTCTCATGTCAACAAGGCGAGTTTCAGTCCTCTGGGGTGGCATTCTGCTTACATTCTGTCACCTGCAAGACCACCTGCTCTGTATGTCCGCTGGGTGGCTTAAAACTCCCAAGGTAGTGAGCCCACTGCATGCCAGTCACTTAAGAAGAAATTATTTTCTTTCTAAGCAACAGAGATTTGGGGACTATAAAAATTCTCAGTAGGAATCAGAGATCGAATTGTCCTTCTCAAACCCAAGACCTAACATCAGCAGATTTTGAATGATACATTAAAACTCACGATTCACCTGTTGCCATAACAAGACTTTCCGAGGCCAGACACGTGGATCACAACAAGACCTTTGTAAGAAGCAAACTGCATCACATCTGCCAACCGCCAGATTTTCAGTTTTCTTTGAATTATCAAGTTCTTGTCATTATTAGAGACAAGGTAGTTGCCTGGAAAGCCTAAGGGACTGCGTCAACTCTTCCACTCATCTAAAGCGCCCCGTGTTTTAACTGCATTAGAATAAACCATTCCACTTCTTTGGACCAAGTCAGAATTGGACTCTCTTGAGTGACCCATAAAAAACACCACTGCAATACATTTGCACACATCTATGAAAGGAGAAAATATAATCACTTTATTTTCAGTATACAGACTAAATCCCACCATAAAATAATGAGTGAGCACACATGAATAAAATACTCCGCACTTAAAAACCCCCCATTTTTGCCACGTCTGCCGAATCCATCGCTTGCCACGTGGCACGCGCCGCTCTCCAGCATTGTTTCCACGAGCAGCTGCAGTACTCCCAGGAGCAATGCTCCGTCTACTACAATTCAAAAAACCCTCTCACTTTGCATATAAGTGCTACATTTTCCTGTATGCCTTGAAATACTAGTTAGGTACAACAACACTATGTCATCATCTCTGCCCCCAAACTATGTCGGCTCCCCCTCCCACCCTTACACCAAAGAAGAATTACTTCTACAAGGAGGTAAAAATCAGCAAGTTCTAGCAATACAAACTCTTCAGAGGTGCAGAATGACGGCATACCATGACCTGCAGCACGTGAATACGCAGCACAGACAGCAAGACATGAATACTGACGAGTTGTAGACACGCGCATGCACACAATCACCTCTGTAAAGCTTTCCTCACGGTGTGACTCCTTCCATGCCACACGCTTTTCAAAGGAAAAAATAAAATAAAATAAGCCCTTCTCAAATTTTGTCCATTTAAAGCTGCCAACAAAATTTGATTCCGTGTGCTATCAATGGGCACATTATTGCTTGTAGTAAATTGGAGAAGATTTGGACCTACACAAGAGATTCGCTTGCAAAGCACAAAGGTCACCAGTGGCCCCTAAGCAGTTTCACAAACTGATCGTTGCAGCTGGTGCTTCCCGCACCCTCCACACCAGCGGTCAGCTACAATACTTTGCAGTTCTAGATGTGCATCGTACCCCCCTCTAGAAAACATGTTCCGTGTCTTCTCTGACTCGTAGTTAAAATACACAAGAGCAGTCAGCATAAAAAAAAGTTAATTTTACAAAATCCATCTTCACTCGTTCACCTGAAAAACGGGCGACCAAAGGACAGCAGTGCCTAATCCTCTCAACACCAAGAGAAGATGACATTATTGCAGAGATATTTTACGTGCCCAGCGGAGCAGACACACTCTCACTGGCTCTTCAAGCTGCCAATGACCTACCTCGCCCCTGGTGAACCTGACCAAAAGTGTTTAAGAATCCTGTCTTTACGTCTTGCACCTCTAATTGAATGTAAAGTTTACAACTGAGTGTCTTTAAGGAGTAATAAAGCAGCTCTTGGGATTTCTTCCAAGCAAACTCTGACTCAAAGGCTCAATCCAAACTCACAGTGTTACATGGGAACACCAGCCCATTCTAGACCCCCAGCATCACTGAGAGCAACCCCCTGCATCTTCTCTTAGAGTTACATGCTGCACAATCCCTTCCTTTGCTAAAGCATCCTGGTTTTTTAGCCTCTCCTGCTAACGATACTCTTCAAATCAGTTCTGACCGCAAACACTGTCCTTAACTTAGCACGTATCATAAAATTGATAAGATTCTTTCCTGTCTACTGGTGCTCCAGATGCAACACTACCCATAAAAACATACAACTAATTCTTCCGGCAGGTGATCCAAACCAGCTCTGTTCTCAAAACAGCAGATTGGCAGAGGCAGGCTGCAGACTGCAAAGTCTCCAAGCTTTCCATACCACGAAGTGAGGTAGCAACAAGCAGCCTTTGAAACAGCATTGTCTCCATATTTTTTCCCCTACGATTAAATCCCTTTTCCACATAATTTTGTGAGTGAACTAGAGGCTTCTCTGGAGCAGCGGAAGAAGAAAAGACATGGTAAATAAATAACAAATGATAAAAAGAACTAGGCCAATAGTTTTGCAAAGTTTTCCTTTTTGGTACCAGCACTGAGCACTGCTCCTTTTCAGGTGGAGAGAAATACAAAACACCTCAGTCTCTTTGTGAGCTTAAAGTCCGAGTGACTTCTGCACAATCTGCTTGGCAATTTTGTTAAATTGTTCTCTGTCTTCCCGCCACATCTTGGAGGCGTCTACGTTGGCTCCACTTTCATCATTTGGCTCTGAAATGAGAAAGATGGGAAGATAGGTGGGCAGGCAGGTCATGGAGCAAGACCGTCGCGCTCTCTCAATAATGCCTCCATACCGCCGCTTCCCTCTGGCTTTGGTACACTTCCCCTGCTTGGGACTACAGAAACACCACTAAAGAAAACCCAGTGACAGCTTCCGGATTCCCAAATGGTTCTGATTTAACTGATCACAAGATAATATCACAGCAAGGTGAGGTTTAGGTAAGAAACAAGTGGCAGAGGGGCAAGACTTTCTTTTGCTTGTGCTCTCAACAGTTGAGCCCCAGCATGCACACGGAACACCACAATGCGGCACCACCAGTGCTGTCAAGGGTTTATAAAACTGCACGCTGCTCCCTGCAAAATGTTTTTTTTTCTGGTTCTGCGGCTTCACAGACACAAAGCCCTCCCGACCAGGCCACCCAAACAGGCTCTGTCATGCTTTGGGATGGTTTGTTCTATTAAAAAACAACAAAACAAACCAAGAAAACCCATAGAATGCTTTCATTTCTGCAATGTCTTTCATCCCAGGATTTCAGAGCGTTTTGCAAAGTACATTAAGCCCCTGTGACTCAAAACACTTAATTTTGTACAGAGGTGAGCTGAGGCATGGGATTTATCAGGTCCGTGGTCAGCACACGGAAAGACAACAGTCACGGGATTACACAAGTCACTAAGACAGAACATACTCTGCCCATTTTGCTTCACACACTAGTCCAAATCCAGCCCAGCCCAGCTCACGACAGACATCCTGGGCTCGTGTCTGTCTCGACACAATGCTGATGGTCTGCCCCTAAAAGCCAGAACTGGGGACAGGAGATGCGCAGGTCACCCAGTCTGGTAAACTTGGGCTTACACTACCTGCAGAGCACTGAGAGAAGCTGATCGTTGATGTTTTAGACTAATTCCTCCAAAAGCCATGGGAAAACAGGACGCACGGGCAGAGAACAAGGGAGTTCAGGTGACTCCCAGTCTAGGTAAGGTTTCACCACAAAACAAGTTCTTGGAAGCCCAGCCAGGTACTGTTTGTCAGCACGGGTTCCCAACAGCAGGTCACTATTCTGAAGCTAAAACAGTCACCTGTAGGAATCTGTTGCTTGCTCTCTGATCAACCTTGCTGCTCTAAACCTTCCAAAACCTTTTATCCTTCAAAACTGACTCTAAGGGACACAGCTCTGCCCTTTTCAGGCAGTTCAGTGGCTCTGTCCGCTATGTGGAAAAGGATCCATCTTTCAGGGAGCCGTACATGACAGAGCTGATCCATAGCCCTTGCCAGATTTAGGGAGAGCCATTTAAAAGACTGCACCAAAAGCTTTTCACCCCACCTCTCTTCTCAAGAAGCCTTCCTCTGAATCAGAGATGGCAGAATGGGGAACGTTCCCAGGCTGGCAAATAACAGACATGGAGGCTGCTGGTTTGTGACTCAGGCCATGGACTCCAGTTTACCATATTGGTTTGATCTGGCCAGTAAAGCTTCAGCTGCTAAAGCCAAATCCAACACAGGCTATAATAGCTCTAAGACCTGCAAAAGCTGAACAGACATCACAGCAAATGCAAAGAGAGAGCACAGGTTTTGTGCAGGAGCAGGGAACCAGCTGAGCCTCAGGACCCACCTGACCAGTGCTGTCTGCTTGGTTGCCGCTGACCTGGGAGGAAAGCAGTGCAGCTCCTCCCAAAGCTGGAAACACCTGTTTAACAATTCAGTCTCCCCCTCACCCCCCAGTTATTTTCAGACAAATTTTTATCAATAAATAAATATTGGGGCTTTAAGAAGTCCGGTAGCTGCCAAGCATTTTTAAACATCCTTTGCTCACTTAACAAATCAAACAGCAAGAAGCAGCTCTAGCTAACTCAGTAACTGCTGTCTCATAAAACAGCAGTCCTTACCTGCCAGCATGCTAACGACTGACAAGAGGATCTTTTCCACACTCTGCACGGGACTCCACCGCTCAGCGCTGCTCTCATATCCCATGGGGTCATCCCCAGGAGCATGAAGAATAGAGATGCAAACTCTCCCATCCGGGTAAACTGCACGAGAAGTACAGGGGATTGATGGTTACTCAGCGGAAACGTTTTGCCTCTCCAGTTCTTTAGCACAGATGAATGTTCAGACTTGGCCTTCGTATGACTGACATTAAACCTAGTTTTAAATTTCCTCTTCCAAAGGCAAGAGGACACAAAATCTGAAAGATAAAAATCTAGCAAAAATTTCCTTTAAGCAAATTAACAAACTTGGGTCATCCTGCCCCACCAGAAGCCTGCTGGGAGCAGTCGTATCATTTAATACCAAGAGACAGGCTCCATGGAAAAAATGAGAGATGCAGCCTGGTGGAACAAGGCAAGTATTTATGCACAGACACAGCTCCAAATAGGTAACTAGTCCTACTTAAATCAAAGGGTAGCAGTCACACAGCCCTGAATGCACCTTGGAGTCCTCCACTGCACCGTAACTGTAAAAAGAACTAAGCAAACTTGCTCTGCTGCAGCAAGGAAGGACAAGTGGTATATATTATAAACAACAGAATTGATCTTATTTGGACATTACTGAGGTGCAACCAGAAGAATTCACACCACTTTTTTTTATTATTTTTAATATTGCTTAAAGCTCAGCTGCATAAAAGCGCATGGAAAAAAGTAATCTATCAGTTAAGGACACAGATATCTTCCCCTCCCATCTTTAGCGTAAACAAAGCACCTGCGACAGTACAATTAGTCTTCACAGGCACTGGACTCCACTGACCTGACAATGAGGCCAAAGAAAGGTTGAAGAGGAGACACAAAGAGAACAGAGGTCGAAACCCTGCTTTAGCAACACAGCCTAATTCTGCAGCCTCCCAAGAAATCACAAATGTAGTTCAGTACTCGCAGTGCTCTGCTATCCCTCGGGTGACCAAATCTGTGCCATTGCCAGGAAAACAAGACAAAACAAAAAGAGGGAATGACCGCTGGAAGCATTTCTGCTCATTTCCAGTTCCTTCTATTCACCCAGCTAACGTCTGCACAGCCCTGCAACATGTAAGTGCTTTGGAAGACTTATTTACATCCCGTCCTGCAGCCCCAGGCTGGGGACTGGAGCTGGTTCTCGCTGTAGCTGGAAGAGACGAAAACAGCATGTGCTGAATCAGCACTTCTCCTTGCAAGTTAGGAACACGCTGGTAGAAGGTGTTTCACCTGTAAGTTACTCTGATGTTTTTATGCAGCGTGCCTCATTTAAAACAGCTGGACCACAGCAGCACAGTCACAGAATCACAGAATGGTCAGGGTTGGAAGGGGCCTCTGGTGATCATCTAGTCCAACCCCCCTGCCAGAGCAGGGGCACCTCCAGCAGTTGCACAGGCAGGCATCCAGGCAGGTTTGGAATATCTCCAGAGTCGGAGACTCCACCGCCTCTTTGGGCAGCCTGTGCCAGTGCTCTGGCACTCCCAAAGTAAAGAAGTTTTGCCTCGTGCTGAGATAGAATTTCCCATGTTCCAGTTTGTGCCCGTTGCCCCTTGTCCCAACACTGGGCACCACTGAAGAGTCCGGCCCCATCCTCTTGCCATCCGCCCTTTAGATATCAATAAGCATTGAGGAGATCCCCTCTCAGCCTTCTGTTCTCCAGGCTGAACAGACCCAGGTGTCAGCCTTTCCTCATGAGAGAGGTGCTCTAGTCTCTTGATCATCTTTGTAGCCCTCCGCTGGACTCTCTTCAGTAGTTTCCTGTCTTTCTTGAACTGGGGAGCCCAGAACTGGACATGGTGCTCCAGATGTGGCCTCACCAGGGCAGAGTAGCCTGCCTTGACCTGCTGGCCATGCTCTCTTTGATGCGCCCCAGGAGACCATTGGCCTTCTTGGCCACCAAGCACATTGCTGGCTCATGGGCAACTTGTTGTCCACCAGGACTCCCAGGTCTCTCTCTGCAGAGCTGCTTTCCAGCAGGTCAACCCCAACCTGTACTGGTGCATACCCTTGCCCTTGTTGATCTTGACTTGCAGTCAAGACAGCAATGGCTGATTCCGAGAAGATGTACGCATCTTCCCACTTTGTCACTAAGTCCTAATGCAAGACTTGCTGTTAATCGCTACTTTGAAGTTATCTTCGCCAGAGCATCCACGAACGTAATTTTATTTTAAGAGAAGATAGCTCTGTGGCATCTCGATTCCCCCTGTGCATAACACAAACTGCAAAGATAAGGGAACACAGCAGACTTTTAAAACATTCTCCTCGCACTTCCTCACAGGTGGAGGAGTAAGCACTTAAGGAACAGAAAAAGCACAGCATGGCCACCCATTTCTACAGCCTGTCTGGCTATAACCAGACCATCACAATCCCACCTTAGAAAGATTCAAGTGTCTGCTTTAGGTGATCTCAACTTCAGATGAACATGACTCAGAGTTACAGGACTTTAAAAAGCTGAGCTGACCATTCAGTATGTTCCAGTTAACCCCACAGAGGAAGTGTCCATGTGTAAAGCCATTCTATAACATATGAGAGTCAGGCAGTTTGTGCTTCTCCGCACCCCACTCCTCCTGGCTACACTGCACACAAAGCAGCTGTGAGCAGCGAACCTCAAGCCAAGGCCACAACTAGAGCTGCAAAGCATTGCGTGGACAAGGATTTGCTCATGGACACCAGTCCTGCCAAGAAGTTGGGGTGAATTAGTCCAGCTGAACCAAGGTGCCAATGCGGCCACATTGCTTGCAGGTGCCAAACGCTGCACTGCTGCAGACATCAGCGCTTCAGAGGAGATGCTACAGTGTCTTGGGCACGTCTGCCCAATTCTACCCTGTGACGTGCAGGTGTGTCTTCCACAGGACAGAAGGATGTGGATTAAGTGGGCAAGAATCTGCATCAGTGGTTTTTTGAGAAGGGAAGAACAGAAGAACTTCAAGAAATTGCAAAATTCCTTGGAATAGGATGAAATAAATCAATTCCCAGCTGAGATTAAGATTTGTGTTATGCAAGCGCAGGAATGTCAGCTGGGAAGGAAACACCAGGCAGGAGGGCGGCACTTTGCTTTCATTGTTCTCAAGTGGCAGAGACCTAATAGCCCATCAAATCTGGGTGATGATAAACGATCTTTACGCAATCCACGTTGATTTAGCAGATGTCATAAGCAACAATTTTAGGAAGAATGCCACGGCTGGCTCCAGGAAGTACTGCTGCAGGCTGTGAAAGAAGGCTTTAAGGTTTTAACCTGTCCAAGGCTCAAACCTGTTAGCTGCACTTGTTACTTCAATTACTTCCACTGAAAAGTCTTAAGATAATATTGTCACCATCAGAATTGCAGAGAAAAGGATAGAAGTCTTAACGTTAAAAAGTCTGCAAATGTGTCATCTGCTTGGACAGGGGCACTCTGTATTGCAGAAAGATCACATCAGAAATGTTACTAAACTCATGACTTAACAGAGAAAAAGCCATGCTGCCTAGTAAAGCTGCATCCACACTTTGGCGAATATGAATGAATTTTCACTCGTTGAAATAATAGCAAGCTACTTAAAAAGCCACAGAGCAAGACTTGGAAGAGTCTGTATTAATTCTCTAAATCTCATATCATGTACAGAAGATTTATCTTTAGACTATTTATACAAGAGTAACAAGCATTCCTAGAACGATCTTAAAAGCAGTGAAATTGTTGGAAACTTTGTTGGACTGTTTCTGACCAAAAGGTATATGACGAATAATGTGATAAAGAGCAAAACTGCTGGACAGCTGAACACTCCTACTGCGTACTCAAGGCTGGAAAGGGAGAGAGAGAACAACCCTCGGTAAGGACATTAGTTCTCCTGTTGCAAAAGTTTGGTTTTAAGGTGCACAAGCAGCCCACTCCCCCGTATGTCCTGCTGCATCAGACTCACTGTTTGGATGGAACATCTCGCATGTGAACCTCATCTTCGGAGGACTTAATGGGTAGTCGAGTGGAAAGCTCAGAATAGCAGGGAAAACCCCATATTCGAAACAGGTGTCTTCAGGACCCCTAGAAACAGATAAAAAGCTATTCACCAGAGTTTTAAATAGTTCTTTCACTTTCTTGTCTAATGAGACATCTGAGGTTTGGGTTGTAACATCTTCTCCAGAAAACAAAGGGTTAACACAGTCTTACCCCACACCTCACAAACTTAAATCCAAATACGGGTTTTGGGAGGGAAGGGGGAAATCAAAGCTTGCACACTAAATTACTAGGAAGGTCACAACACTGCTTAATTAGCAGGGTGTGTCTGGATATAACAGGAGTATCTGGCTCCAAGGCATGTTCCAGGATTTGAGCGTCTGCACGTCAAGAGAAAGCAGAGGCAGGTGTGGGACTCCTGCACCTTTGAAGATACTGTTATGCTGCACAAGACAGATGTCAAACGCTGGAGCTCAAAAATAATTTATAAAACCTACGGAGTTTCAAACTCCCAGTATAGAGCATAACCACACATCAACACTTATCACTATCTGATGCAAAAAAAAAACACAGCAACATTTTGTAAAAATAAAAACACAGCTCAGGGACCATAATTGGTAAACGCAGGACAACAGACTTACAGACTTAAGGTATTTAGTTTGCACTCCCTCAAGTGCATGCGGAGAACAAACAGCTTCGTCAGGGTTCTTGTAGAAACATTTCCTTATTGTGTTCATAATCTAGTTCAAAGTGCAATCAAGTGCAGAATATAAAGACAACTATGTTACTCTCCCTACATAAAACATTTCTGGGAGGTGAGCAAAAAAAGTTTACTCAACATGATTTATTCAAACTTGATGAACCATCTGGAAGTTATAACACAAACATGATCTCCCCCGATTGGAAAGATCACAAAACAAGCTTCACCGCTGAAAATCTTAGCCAAGGAAACCTCATGTATTTAGTAAAAAAACTCTTCAAACAAGGGCTGTACTGTCAGGGAAATAAGGTTTAGAAATATATTCATGCATCCGCCTCCTCCTCCTCCTCCCAATCCACATTCTCCATGCCAGAAAGAACATAAAAGTTGAAGGACTCCTCAGACTGCAATTGGTAACCTACAGAAAAAGAAAAATCGAGACCAGCAAAACCTAAAGCCCTAGGAGGCTCACTCTCTTAAACGTTGGGATTCAAAAGACTTGGCTGACAGATAAACCCAAGAACTACGGGATTTAAACCTGAATATTGACACTGGCAGGTAAGATTAGAGAAATGCATCAACACACTGCAAGAATGAAAGCTAAACCATCTCAACCGTTTTGTTCCCTTTCTGGCCTTTTCCCTAAATTTAGTCAGGATTCAATTCACATCTGAGAGTAAACTGAATGCATTTTTCATGAACATTTTAATTCCAGCTGCATTTTAAAAGCTTATTGTTGAACTTCTAAGAGTGTGTACATACACGCATTGAAAAGCTGGTGGGTGTCTGATGTTCTGTTTTGAGAGCAAACACACAGCCTTAAGGGCTCTTCTGTCAAATATGTTAACCCAACGTGCTCCATTTTAGGCCCTGTATTATGTGAGCAAAACGCTTTTGGTTTAGGCATTCATTGCTGCCAGGATCAACTTCAAAGAAATTATTAAAGTTAATCCAAGACAGCACTTGCAACTGCAAAACACTCAGGAGGCCACAACGTTTAGACTTGACACCATCACTTTCGGTTCAAAAAGGACCTTGGCAGGGCCAGGGATGGAGCACGGCACAGCATCTTTTGCAATCACAGCACCCGCCCCTCAAAGATTCCAAAGTACACCACTGTCAAAGCCTCCATGTCTTATGCTAGGACCTCCTCTGAGCTGCTACGCCAGTCAAAGTCCAGACTGCGCAGTACTTGAGTAGGGTTCCTCCAAGAAACACCCAGACCATGCAGTAGTGCCACCGGTCCCACCAAGCCAACAGGCCAGTTGCTTTAAGCAGCATCTGTACCACAGAGAAGCCAAAGCACTTGCCGTCACTAACCGCATGCCCAGGGAATGCACTCATTCTGCACAGGTTTGAGGCATAGAACTCTAAGAAAAACCCATCTAAGACTCCATCTAAGACTCTTTACAGCCTGCAAAGCAGGCACTTGCTGCATCGTTTTCTGCGCGTGATGCTACTCTACAGACTTCCCTAGAGCACCGAGGAATGGACGTCAGTTCTCCTCCAGCCATTACATGGCATTAAATGACTTGCTAGACAGCCAGACTGTTTAGTTGTGTGACAGACATCATAAACAACTCTTGTTGACAAAGGACATAACATAAAAATAAGAAACGCCGAACTCCGTGAGCTGGCTGCTACTTTGGCAAGGGGAAGAAAAGGATGGCAGGTATCTGCCAAAACAGGAGGGAAAAGTGCATTGACGAGGACAACTAATTCTATAATCATAGCTTCATGTACTTTTGTAAATGGCTTCTAATTTGTAAAAAGATGCTGGAAAAACACCAAAACCCACAGTCATTAGATGCTGAAATGGGGAATTCCATGCTAAACAGAAGTCCTAAGCCTAATTATAGATCTAACTACCTTTCTGGACAGGTTTTTGATAGGTTGACTTCAATTTATACTGTTTAGTTTTCAAGCAATCTTTAGGCTAATAAAGCTCTTATTACATGGGTTTTTGTCTCTTGGGGATAAACTTTAATAGCAACGCACACTTGTATATGCCAACCAAAGGCAGCCAAACTTGGTCTTGAAACATTAAACTCAAGAACTTCCACAAGACAGAACAGCCTACCAGACCTCACGCAGCACTAAGGAACTGAGCAGCATTCTGGTAAATGGGATTACGTGTTAGAATTATTTATCATCACAAATAAGACGTCTCATTGCAAAGATTCAGCTTTTATAAATACTCCAATGCAGCTACTGCTTGACGTCTTATCAAAAGGGTGCACTTTCCACCAGGTTCCAAACCCTTACGGTTCAGAAAGATTACTGCGTTGTATTTTCAGTTCTGGATCTATTACACTCACTTTGGGAGCACCAGGACTGTTCTATCATTCAGACATGTCAATACAGCCTTAACATTTGTATGTTTAGCATTTATCCAGCACTGCTTCTGCAGGCAAGAACACCAGAAATACAAATTATTATTACTATTATTGTAAAAGGCATTATTTTATCTTCGAGCCAAGCTCTTACATCAATCTGTGTAAGATTACCGAGCCCACCTCTGAACTGATAAATGGGCGATGTCTTTTCTCTCTCAGGTCTCTTTTTTTTTGGTATTTATTTGCCATTACACATGCTCTAGCTTTACATAAATTGGGTGAGGGAAGAAAAAAATAAAGCATTCTGTTCTCTTCTTCATTATTACGCTACATACTTCCCTTTTGCACTTCATCTGTCTAAAAATTTGAAGCCGACTTTATTTTAATTTCCTCATCTGCACTTCTTTCATTCCCATAATCTCACAGAGCACATTCGAGATTACCAAACATTCGAGAAGATTATCACAGACAAATATAAACAAGTCATTTAGCTTGCTTTCCAAATGTACACAAACACTTCTACTAATAGACTTTCGTAAAGAGATGAAAGTAACCAAACATGTTTAGGGCAAACATGTTTCTATTGTACCACAGCTTCAGAATTTAGCAGATCTTAAAATATAATTTTATTATGACACACACAATACAGAAACCAAAATTAAAGCACCTCCGCCTCTCATTTTGCGCTGACAAAGACCTAAAGCTCAACACTCAGCACTTTAAAGGGCTTTCAAGTCTACAAGTGGTTCCTCTGTTGTTTAAGAATTTGTTATGGGAAACATCAGAAAAAAGTATTTTCTAGGTAATGAATCAAATCCAAAAGTACTTCTGCACGTCCCCTATGAAAGCTCTACTCAACCACACAATCTCTGCTGCGAGAGAGTACCAACAGGCAGGAACTTCCTTCCATATTCCAAGAAGTCCATTAAATCCTCTGGGATCTCTACACTCCAAGCAACACACAGCTGCCTGAACTGAAATTTGGTACATCACCAAGTGCCAGTTTCAGAAGAGAGATTACTATTCCACAGACAGAAAGAGAAAGCATAAGCCACTGCAGCCAAAAGCTTTGGTGTCGGGCAACAAATTTTTGTGTTTGCTTTCAGGGCTACCAAGAAGTACAACCTGTTCATCACAGGATAAATTGCTTCACATAAGCAGAAGCACTTTGCCAGCTCTTCATATCAATCAGCAAACAAGCAGTGGTAATCCAAATCTCCATTTACCAAGGCCTAAAATAACTCAGGCTCACGCTTGCCATAAAGTAGGATCACCCACGCAGCCAGCTTGTGTGGAATAGGTGATATGCTACAGCTTGGGATGCTTTTGTATTGGTTGCGTGCCTGATCCCAAGAGACAGAAGTCTTGTTTTTCATCCCTAGACAACACACTAGCTAAGAAAAATTCTGCCACCCACGCTAGTTGAGAATCTCAGAAGTCAGCACCGGTGTTTGCAGCGCAAACCTGCCAAGAGCACAGCAGCCACGCTGCAAGCGGGGCCACTGCCTGCTGTCCCCAGCATCCCCCGGGCCCTGGCTGAAGGAAAGGAAATCACAGGCTCTTACTAAAGAAACCCTGAAATACAGAGTCTGGATCTACCCTAACAGACCATTAGCTTCAGGCCAGACTTGGCGGTTAGGAGCTTTTTAATCTTTTAATTCTGTAGCATCTGCCCAAATTGCCAGACCCGAGTAACAAAGGTCACTTTTCCTCCACCCTACTGTTTTAGAACTTTATTTTGTAAAAATCACCAGTTATTCCATGTATTCAGAGTTCCCAAAAAAGGGTATGGCACAAGTAAGAGAGGACAAGCAAGAGAAGACAATTTGTAAGATGCCGGGTAAGAAGATTTTGTCTTTTCATGGCAAGTTTTGCTATGAACAACTGTACCCATTTGTTCAGGAGTGGAAGGAGGAGGGCACAGCTTTGTGTCTTTGTCACCCCCCAAAACACAACAGGTTCATCAATAGCCATCAGCGCTATTCACCAATAGAAGAGCTTTCTACGCGGAACCATTGCACCCAGTGTCTTTACAACACCAGCCAATTCCTGAAGCATAAAGAATTTCAAAACAAATCATCTTTTTTTTTTACTTGAATAACTTTCTCAGATCAGTCCCCTTCCATTTTCCTAGAAAGAATCCGAACAGTAAAATCAACTAACTTTAGACACTGTTTTCTCCTATCACTGATAATCTGTTTGCTTTGCTCAATTGAAACAAGAGAAAAACCTGTCCTGTATTTGCAGTTGAGTAATGTTCCCAACAGCTTGTGTGATCTACAAGCAGTTCATCGTTTCCTACCGTGTTCATATATGCAACGTATATCCCAGGGAGCCCAAAGGAGGATTCCTTTTGCAAGTTATTTATGCTGAGCATTGCTTATTATAATGACATCTGCACAACAAATGGTCACTTAAGTCCCAATCTTGCCTCTGTCACACTGTTTAAATTCCAAATATAACTCACTGTTTGGGTCAGAAAAGAAGCTCCCAGCCAGCGGGAGGCCGAGGTTGACGTTACGCACAACTGATACTATTTTTTCACATTCTCGTTCTCCTAGAAGCTAATCATAACGTGCAAGCGCTGATTTCAGGTACAAAACAGTATTAACTCACATAATCAGAGCTTCCCATTCAAAGAAGTTCTCTTCATTCATGGGACCTATTAAGACAAAAAAGAATAAAGCAATGCTTAGCCCTACCTGAACACAAGGCTACAACTTCACAGTGCACAAGCCCTGCTCGGCTCCTCACCTGCTACTATCCCTTCTGGTGGGTTCAGCGTCAGCTCTGTGAAAACAAAAACACAAGGAAGGTTAACACGACCAAGCCAAAGCGTTTTGGCTAGCATTTGGGTGGCCACGGCTTACAACAGAGGTCCCACCAGCAAACCCCCTTGGAGAAAAGCTTGAGGACACCATGGGAGGAACCATAGTTTTGGCCATGCTTTACCGGGTGAAACTCCACATCCAGAAGGCCCAGTATCTCACTGCTGACAATTTAACTTCTTCATTCAGGACAGTTTTCTAGACAAAATTATCTGGTGTTTTGTACTTTTTCAGGCTCCCGGGGGAACTAGTGTTCCCAGGGGCAACAATTTAAAATTGAGAAGGAGGAAAAGACCCCAAAACTCCTTCAGCAAAGCATTGGAAACACTCTCCTCTTGGAGCACTGGACTATCTGCAGATACAAACTCAACAGCCTAAAGAGAAAATAGGTTGTATTCCTGTAATCGCTCTGCACCAATTCGGACTTGACCTCAATATAAAACCCCAAATGATGCAAAAAGATGGAGAAGCAAAAGTAGGAGATATTTGACAAGAGGCCGTGTTCCTTGAATTCAGTCCGACTTGCCTGGAAAATGCAAGTGAAAAAAGAAGCAGCAATAAAGCAGTGATGCTTGTTTGGATCCATCAGCACTCACTTTCTGTAGGAAACTGGTACAATTCCCAATTTGTACAATAACCCTTCAGCATCAGTACGTCATTTCAAGCCTGCTGAAGCCCAGCGCTCTGTGCGCTGAGAAAATCATAACCAGTTTTTCTAGCACCTAGTGCAACCACCATCAACTTCCAAAGTCCTGTGGGGCGGTAGCAGCTGGCGAGGCAAAGTTCAGCCACGCACAGGCAACCAGTGGCCCTGCAGACCCTGGCACAGAGCCGAACACCAGCCCCCCAGCTCCGAGCAAGACGTGGGGCAGCTGGCGGGACCAGTGGCAACACTCAAGGGTGTCAGACTGGAGGAGGTGACAGTAATTAAGCCAACTTAAGTAAGGGCTCTGAGCTGCTTATCTAGAACAGTGTTTCCTAACTGATGGCTTGTGGACTACTAGTGGCCCATAACACAGGGAACGCAGCCGCAGGAAATATCACGCGCATTCCCACGCATAAAACCAAGCATGAAGGCGGACCCAGGGCATGTGGGAAGTCACAAATGCATAAACAAGATGCTTGACCTAATTTCTGTTAGGCTACGGGTGAAAACTATGGGTAGTGCTGCACAAAACAGCACATGAATTTGTGTCTTAAACCAGCTAAGTTACTGTTGGATTCAAAAACGTGCTCAGATACGCCGACAGAAGAGACAGCGACGCTCTCTAGTTCTCT